TTCTATCTTTTAGCTTAGAACTAACTTTATTGTTGTCTTAATAAGGTACTGCTTAAAATCTTGGTTTTTCTTTAGCTTCGAATTTGGTTTTGGTGATCAGCAGAAAGAGTGCTTTTTGCGGAAGTAGTAATATTATAAAAATTAATTGATTATATAATAAATTGTTAATATATATTATAGTTAAGATAAAAGTGAGTTTGGAATTGAAGTGAGGTATATATATAGATATTTATATTATTTTTATCATATTGTAAATTTAAATAGCCAAATTATTTTAGATAGTCTAAATCATAATTAATTTAGAATATTTGAAATATTTTAAAGTATTTAAAATATTTTAAAATGTCAAAAATATTTTAGAGTATTTAAAATGTCTAAAATATTTTTATTATTCAAAAATATTTAATAATAAAAATATTAGCTTTCTAGTAAATAATTATTAGTGTATCATTTTTGTTTTAAATTAAATATAGATACAAACTAATTACTATATAGATCTGAAAATAAGCAACCCTCTAAGCCACTCATTTTAGCTAAATTTTTTAAAAGGTTGCTTAAATTTAGTAATTTTGAAATACTTAAATCTATTTATTCTATTTATAAGAGTTGTTTATTTTATTTTTTTAGTATTTTAATATTCAAAACTAAGATATTGCTTATTTTTAGGGGTTGTTTACTTTTAGACTTATATGGTAATTAATTGCTAATATATTAACATAATTTATTACAAAATTCTTATTTTTTTATAAAAATAAAACTTTGCAATAAGGATAGTTTGGATGAGGCTAGGGATAAAAAAAGAGTATAATTTATATCAAAATTTAGCAAAAAAATTTTTTTATTAGAATGCAAAAGATAGTTCATAATTAAATTTTTGAGTTATTAATGATTTTTTTTAAAAAATAGTTTTAGTTTTGATTTTACATTACATCTGATCTTAAAATTTAATTGGCTTTATTGGATGTGGTTACAGTAACTGTGGTTACAAATTTATTACCTTTTAAATTAATTATACTAGTAAAATTTAAAAATTTCAACATGTTAAATAGCATTTGAATTAATTTGTTATAGCTAATATTAAAATTTTGAGGTTTTTATTAAAACTATAAAACCTACTAAACCCATCTATACACTTGAATTAATAAACTCTAACTTTAAACTTTATTTAAACTATTATATAAAGACTAAAAAAATATACTCTAAAAATTTTAAAAATTTAATAATAAAATAATCAAAATTTTAGCATCAGCTATAATAATATTTTTTTACTAAACTAATTTCTGGCCATCTTTAGATATGCTTTAACAAGAGAATTTCAAGTTTTGTCTAAGGTGATAATAATAAAAATAGAATGAAATAGGAGTTTTTTTTTTTATCTTTTGAAATATCTTATTAGAAATAGTTATGAAAAAGAACCAATAACAAAATACATCATTTAGTGATTAATAAAAGGATTCTGTTTAAGGACTTTTTACCACCTGGTATAATATAAAGTAAAGTTTAAAAATAAAACCAAAAATTTAAGCTTTTTACTTGTAGATACATTAATAAAATCTTCAATGTTATTTCGTATTCAATAGGAAGCATTAAAGATTTCAAAAATCATACCTTTGTTATTAGTGTTGGCATTTGGACTATGTCCATATTTTTGAAAAAATATGGTCATAGTCCAAATGTATATGTCCAATTAAAAAATAACTATGTCTATATTTTGTCCATATTATTTTGATTAGTCTCAAACTGTTTGTTATCATGTTAAATGTAAATACTCTTTTAAACATAATAGCAATGATATAGGCAGTCTATAATAATATTAGAAGTCTAAAATAATATCGGCAGTCTATAATAATATAGGCTGCCATAATAATATCGATAGTCTATAATACTATCGGCAACCAAAAATAATTTAGGCACATAGCATTTTAAAATGCTTTGTCGAAAATATTAAAAAAATTTCGTCATGCCGTCTGTCGTAAATAATCCATAATTTAGACACCCATGTATAGAGATATAGTATATACCAAAATCTCGCAAGGAATTTTTTTCGGTAGAAGCCAAAAAGTGGTTTCATAATAAAAATTTTGAGATATTGGTTGGCTTTTTATATGCTCGTGTACACACACCCCATGTACAAATAGAAATTCTCTTTTTTTAATCTTCAAATACCAAAGTTATATATAGGCTAGGTGCTGAGAAAAGGACGAAATTAACAATTTTTTTTAAAAGATTTTTTTTTTTTTTTTTATATAAATCAATTTAAAAAAAGATTGGGATCATTTTTCGCTTAAGACACAAAAATAGTTGTGTTACAGCTGATTTGAAAATTAGTGGGACACTTGAAAAATTTGCTTGTTTCCCGAAACCTTGCGGACTCGTCTTATGAATCATCCAACTCTTTTGAAATCACGTCACTGTCTTCGGAACTTCGATCCGAAAATAGTGATGTGATTCCGAAGAGTTAGATGATTCGTAGGATGAATCCGAAAAGTTTCGGGAAACAAGCAAACACTAATTTTCAAATCAGCTGTAATAAAATTTTGCAATATAGCTTCTTAAAGTTTGCATTTTTTTATAAGATTTACAGCATAAAATTGATTTTCCGAAGATCTTTTTTTTTGTCAATTTCGTCTCTTTTCTCAGCACCAAGCCCATAATAGTAAAAAAAAAGACAATTCTATTAAAAGATTTTTGAAGTATATAAAAATATATTTGAAATTTTGGCACCCTTTGTAGGGCGTGCAATGGGCCGCGTTGGGTGGGTTTGCCTTGGCCCGAATCCAGCCCGCTAAATTATTAGCCCGGCCCAATTTATTATAGGCTTAAAAATCTAGGCCCAGGTTTGGCCCGGCCATTGCTCACCCTACTTTTATGAGCACTATACTATAGTAAAAGTAATAAATTTAATACTTCTCTTCAAATTTACGATTTTCTTTTTTTTGATTGTTTCTTATTTGTGTATTTATTATTAACGTAGTTAATTTAATTGACGTGCGGTGAATGATTTTGTTGTAAAAGCAATGTACACAAAAAAAAAAAGTAAAAAAAAAGGCAAATAAAGTAAAAATACATGTACAAATGCTGATAAATATCGCAATAACGAAAGACACACTAAAGTCAGAACTTTCGTTAAGAATAAATAATAATAATTATTATGATATTAATATTTTTTTTCTACATAAATTAACCAAAATTGATCTAAACTCTTAAATTTTTGATTTAGTGATGCCATTTCAAATGCTTAACAAAAAAAAATCAATGCTAACTAAACTATCACATCATATCGATATAAAAAGGTTAATCGGAATCTATAATCTCGATAACAGATACATATTTTGCCCTTTTCCTAGAGGAACCTGTAAGATCAATCACATCATTTTCTGAAGGCTCCTCGTCATCACTTATCACTATTACCTGACTTGGTCGTTTTGCTAAATTGTTACTATTAACACTCGTCTTCTGCTTCTTATTCCTCTCCAAATATTTCCTTTCATTGACCGATAAATTCAGTCCCCTAGACACTAACCACTCCACAGGCCTATAATGCAGGTGTAAAACTGCAATAGGATCCTTATCTATTCTCTTCCAATTAGTACCTCCTTTTAATATTCTTTCTTCATATTCATCAAATATCGTCGAATACATAATTTCTGAACATATTTTTGAACCAGCAACTTTCTTCTGATTTATTTCAAACTGATGTGGTCGATGGTTTACTCTTGGTACTCGTTTTGCCTTATAAAAATAAACGGATACCGTACCTAATCCTGAACAAACATCATTCACATTTGATTTTGTGGATGAAGTTGTGGATGAGGTTGCAGATGAGAATTTGAAGAAAAGTTTTTTATTTCGACTAGGATTCCAGAATCCATCTCTGGTTATTGAAGTTGATTGTTTTAGGATGTGATGCGTGTAATCGTGAGATCCGTCTACATGGACAAAGGCCATAATTGGTGTATCTATGATCGCAAAAGCGGAAGCGAATCTCACTTCAAATCTTGTACCGGGTATAAAAATTGCCGCGTACGTGACATTAGGGCTAATATATTTTATTCATAATTTAATTATTTATATATAAAGAAAATTCGTTGATACTGTATTTTTCTTATCCACAAAACAAAAATTCTTACCTATATTTTCGTTCTTTAAAAATCCCACTTAAAACATAAGATTTCGGTATTGCGGTTTCCTAAAAGATAAATTATTTAGAAAAATTATACATTCAAAATCACAAAGTACACTCGACATACCGTTGCTTCATTTATAGGTATATTAAGTTCTTTTAATGGTTGTCCATTAACTAATAACTCGAGAAAGAAGCCGTCAAAATGCATCTTTAATATAGCATAATAATTTATGTGCAATGATAAGCAAAAGAAAAAGGTGAAACGAAGAAACATGTAATCAATTTATGATGTCATTTTAGTCTCATGAGCATATGAAAAATCCATTTGATTGGTTGCCAATCTTTGAAATCTCATTGGCTGCGTAGCATTATGTTTCCGGAGCATTGATCATCTTATTACAAAACGCGTGAATATGCATATTTTGTTACATTAAATTAACAAATTTGAACACGCGTGCGGACGGACAAAAAATTTTGA